GAAAATAAAGTTCAGTATACATATTAGTGTGTAATCTGCAACCGTAACAGAAACTCTATAATATAATATAATCTGTACATTATGGCATTTGAGTATATAATAAACCAAAAAAATGGAAAATTACTGAATTTTAATTCTTTTTTATACAAGAAAGAAAGAGAAAACGAAAATAAAATTATTTGGAAGTGCGTAGAGTATAATGCAAAGAAATGTCGCGGTCGATTACATTCATCTGGACAAAGTATAGTTCATACTACTGAACATAACCATGTGGCCGATATTGCAAAAGTTGAAGCTAATGAAGCAATGGCAAGACTTAATATTGCAAAAACTACTCAACTTAGTACCCACTCTGTATTAGGAACACTGACATTACAGGTATATAGTTTATAAACATAATATAAAATTTTAAAATAATTATTTTTAGTTTATGATTTTAGACCACTTCCAACATAGCTGGACAATTTCCGAGTACAACAGGATTAAAACGAACAATTCAACGAGTTAGAAAAATAGAAAGATCAGCTCCTCCTGATCCAAAATCAGTAACTGAACTAAAAATACCAGATAATTACACAAAAACTTCAACCAGTGAGATTTTTTTAAAATATGATAGCATTGATTACGAAAATAACTTAGACCGGTTTTTAATTTTTACTACCGACAACAATTTACAATTGATGGAACAATGTGAACATTGGTTATGCGATGGTACATTTTCTTGCGTACATAGTATTTTCCACCAACTCTATACTATTCATGGAATAAATTATTCAAAAGTTGTACCAGCTGTTTATATACTTCTTCCTAATAAAAAAGAAGATACTTACAAACGTATGTTTTCAGCATTAAAATTTTTAAAACCACAGCTTAATCCAAAATCAATGATGTGTTGATTTTGAAAAAACTGCTATGAACGCTTCAAAATATGTTTTTCCATCAATTGACATTAAAGGGTGTTTTTTCCATTTAACACAATCTATTTGGTGACATGTACAATCAAATGGGCTACAAGTTAGGTATACAAACGATTCAAATTTTGCACTCGAATTAAGAAAACTAGCAGCCTTAGCTTATGTACCTGAAAATAATGTAATTTCAGCATTTGAATCTCTGTTGGATTCCGAATTTTATAGAGAAAATGAAGAAAGTCTATCAAGTTTAATCAACTATTTCGAAGACATATGGATCGGAAGACCCTGTCGGAGAGCGAGAAGAGCCCCTTTATTTTCTATAAATGTATGGAATTGTTATGCATTATTAAAGTATGATATTCCACGAACTAACAATTCAGATGAGGGTTGGCATAATTGTTTTAGTTCAATGTTAAGTTCTCGTCATCCATCTATTTGGATTTTTATCGATTCACTGAAAAAAGAAGAAAGCTTAAACCGTCTAAAAGTTGAACAGTATATTGCTGGCATCAAACCTCCGAAAAAGAAAAAATACAAAGATTCTGCAGTTCGACTTAAAGCCATATGTGATGACTGATGATTACGAAAATCGATCAATTAACGACTACCTGCTTGGAATTTCGTATAACTTCCAATATCAATTGACATAAAAATACAATTAATTATTTTATTTATTACAACATTTTTAATTATTATTATTTTTTTATGTACTCTGTACATTATACAATTATTCAATATATAGATTATTTCTGGACACAATTTTATCGGCTGTAATACCAGATATCTTATCATAATATCATTGTAACTAATTTTAAAATATCAATATAAAATATAAATGCGATAATGAACACTGCGACGAGCAGTTTGTAATCTGTGTTCGTTTTACGTATAATAGGTATGTGTATTGTGTAGTACTACTCTGTAGTCTATAAAATCAATTTTTGGCAACATATTTTTGCATATAAATCCGAACCCTAATTATAATATATTAGTATTATATTAATCATATTTTCGACATCGCGATATTTTTGTATTCGCGACATATTTGTGTTCGCGAAATTTTAACCCCGACATTTTTATAGCGACATCTTTACAGCGACAAAATTACCGCGACATTATGACGTGTATCCATTCCCCCAGCGCAACCCCCCCCCCCACCCAACAGGTCAAATTCCTGATTACGCCACTAGTCTATTTAATACTAGGGATCAAAATTTCCGAAAAAAACTTTATTTAAAAAAATTTTATTTAATTAACGCATTGTATAAGTGTAAATACTAAATATTGGTATGATATTTAAATTAATGAACATATTTTATAGGTAATAGGTATGATAAATGATAATGTGATATTACCTATATGGTATTATTTATTATTGTGATATTATAAAATCACTTGTACTGACAGAATTGTACTAGAATAGACATAATAGACGGAAAAAAAGTTTTTTAACACTACTTTATTTTATTTATATATACCTAAGCATATATTATGACTAGCTTTAGTTCTGTATACATTTTTATTTCATTTATTCTGTCAATCGTCTCTTTATTGGGGAAAAGGTAGGTACTTCGATTTAAGAATGACGGACCCTGTAATTATAATATATTAAAATAAAATAATATTCGAGATCATCTTGGCATTATGGGAAAGCAATAGTTATTATTAACGATTAGTTATAACATTTTAGCATAGACCACATATTATGGTAAAAGGGCCAACCTCCGAGGCTTATGATGCAATAGTAAAATATGTACGATGGGAAAGTCCTCGGGATTAGTAGGTGTATCTTAATAGTCTCATTTGGTACTATGACAAAACTACAAGATTAATAAAACCTCGCGTTGATCATAGAACAGGCCAGCTACGGGTACAACTGCAAATGCACTACCACACATACAGTAACGTGGGTATAGCGAATAGTAGTTTAGGAAATTTACCACACTGAAGGTGGGAGCGGATGCACTATTCGCAAGATACTAGTTAAGTAAAGGGGGCCTATAAGCTCACTATATAGGAGAGCCCCGAACGGCCTATTTTTCAGACGGATTTCATATATTTTGCACAAGCATCACCACTTAGGACTATCTTTCAAATTAATACTTGGTATATTCTGATCGACAGTATTTGTTGACTTAGAAAATATCTAATTTATATTCATCACACTCATCATTTCTGGTCATTGTCACCTGTACGAGGGCTTACGACGCTATTCAAGTAAAGAGGTTTTTTTTTTATTGAATTAACACATAGCTTAAGTATAGATATTATTATGATATCTAA